TTCATCATAATCACGTGTTATGACGTCCGATCTCATAAAAAACTGCATCAAACATTAATTCAATCTTTATGTGACTTATGTGCAAAAAAGATTTGCAATAGGATAAAAGACGTTTATGCACTAGCGTTCCAAAAGTGGAAGGTAGCGGTCAAGCGTGAGGGGGTCGAGCCACCTTAATAAAAACCTTATCTAATAATTGTTTTGAAAAATCAACACTAAATTCGAATTTTTCACAAACTCACAAACTTGAAGATCAAGAACAATAACAAAAACTAAAACGATACAGAGGCTAGATAAACTTAACTTACTTCCGTTAGAATATCGCAGGGATATACACGACCTCGTTCTCTTGTTTAAATTCAAGTCTGGGCTCGTGAAGGCAGATTTAGGCTGCTTTTTGATCCCCGAAACTTTAAATCTTGGCACGCGCAGTTATGATCCTACAAATTTTCGCTCGTTTATTCTCACCGTCAGCTATACTTTACAAGTTCTTTTTCCCTCAGGTCTGTTAAATTGTGCAATAAACTCCCTAGTTCTCTTAAGCATGCTGAATCTATCCCAAAATTCAAAGATCTCATTTTTCATCATTTTAAGGATAAAATAACAAATTCATAAAGACCGCCTTAACTTAGCGCGTTAATAATCTTGTACAGCATTACTATCTTTTTTCCTAACGTACGAGTGTTCTATCGTTTTCGTTCATTACTTTTTGTAATATATACAGTATGAGTGGCCGTGTTGTATCAGAGATACGACCACGAGGCGTAGCCGAGTGATTGTATATCTGATACAACACGGACACGAATACTGTATATGATTTATCGAACGTCTAGGCTAGCTCCTTTGTGTTTCACTAAAATTTTCAAAATTAAAGTGAATTTGGCCAAGAAAATCCAACTTAAAGTTTATGCAAATAAACACAATTTTGTATCAGATTTACAACACTCTTCACGGTCGTGATTTCTGGTGTGTTTTCCTTATGAATTATTAATGATTTGATAAATTATATTATTATAATTATTCTATTATCATCCATTTTTGTGTGGCCTGTGTTAGAGTCTTCGTTATTTACTATTGACGAAATATTATTAAACTAAACTAAACTAAACAGTGTTTTTTCGAATGGAACGCAGTGGGGCGTTTCTCATCAATGTATGCATGACTCTATAGAATTTCTACTGGCTACGTTTAGTTGCTTAGATACCACGTTCCCATGAAGCTCACAGTTATACACCTATATTTTTTTATTTATTACGGTATTGTCAGCAGTGGAAATAGCTTTACGATCCTCTAGCTTCGCCGTCAAGAATCGGTTTAAAAGAAAATCGTGAGGCGACTGAGAAAGTGTTAAGTTTTGCTTCGCTTGGCTAAGTTCCGTGGAACAACGGAAGCTTTTCAAGCGCAAAACAGTAGCTTTATTAGTCCGATGCGAAAGTAAAACGAGCCATATCGTACGTGATCGTGACGGCAGAATATATTTGAGCATAAGCAAACACATGATGGAAAACAGCATTGTATTTATCATTGGGTTAATTCTGAATGTCCTTGTTCTTTGCTACTGCTGTATAAAATGGAAGACTATTGGTAACATCAAGTTCCTCGTCGCTACCCAAGCTATCCTTTCATCTTTAACAATATCTGCGAATCCTGGACTTATGGCCGAGAATATCGACTGGCATCCTAAAGGAGACTTTATATGTTATAAGTTGCCAAGTCTTGTGATCCATTTTCTCTGTGTTGCTATTTTGAACTTAGCATGTTTGAGCTGCATCAGTTATGCCCAAATCACCGACACTTGGCAAGTTCGTCGTTCGTCCGCCATATTGATTTTCTTGGCCGTGGTTAGTGTTTCGACGATATTGTCGTCTCCCATCTTCTACAGTATCAACAAAGGATGGTCAATCCTTCGCTACGACGGTTGCATATCGAAAATTTCCGATGCAGAAGTCGCAAATAAAGTCCATATTAATGTAGTCCGTTATGCGTTCTGGTTTCTCATACTGCAATATATCATTCCTGCCTTTATCATCGCGAGTCGCGTTGTCCTCATACTCATTCATTTATGGCAAGAAGAATCGAAGACAGATATCTCACCAAGGCCCAAGAATCAAGTTGTCATCCGATTTGCAGTCCATGCCATTTTCGCTATCTTATTTTTGGTCGTCATAGTTCTCTTTTCGATTCACCTTGGTGGCTTGGAGAGCGACAAAGCCCTAGCTTTCCTGAACGTTATTTTCCACAAATTTGTTTTGTTTTTTGTAGTTGTGTTGTGCTGCCCTTGGTACCTGATAGAAATGATACGCTCACAGTGTGAAAACGACGAAAGTTCTTGCCCAGTGGAATATACCAAGCAAGAAAACGAATTAAACATCTAAGATCTAGAAAACGCTTGATGATCAACAATCCTTTATGGACTGTTGGAGGCGCTCAAGTGTCGACATGATTTTTTCCTAATTCAAGAAAAAACTGAATCGCTCTCAATCGTTACGCAGATATTTATTAAGTTATCTGCCGGACTAAAATGAAGGAAACGGGCAGGCTTCGAAGGCTTTGTCCTCTGAAAATACAAACAATCTAGCTTTTCGTCTAACTTGTTCTTTATCTAGCACGTTTGATTAAGGATATTCGGGATTTTTGTCTTCCTAATCGACAATATATAGTTTCAGTTTATCAGCTTTCCATAATGTTTTTCTTGTTTTTCTTTTTTTATTATCAAGCTTTTTTTTTGTCCTCTGAAAATCGTACAAACAACCTAGCTTTTCGTCTATCTGACTCGACGCTTCGCTTGATTAAGGATATTGTCTTCCTAATCAACAACATAATTTATCATCTTTCACTAAAGTTTTCTTTTATAATCAAGCTTTTGACCTTTACAAAGTTAAAATCACAACATTATTGATTTCTACTTTCTCTTTAACTAACTTCATGTACATAATCACAATCTCATAAAGTTATAAGATGGTGGTTACTAACCATATTTTCATTCTGACGATTTATCTAAAGCTCGCGAGATATATTCAAACTTCCTACCATATATAACAGCAAAAAAAAGTTTGTTCGAAGTTCAATATAGTTTGTGTACACCCTTATTATGTCATACAATTATATGATACAGCTTATTGCAAGAGCGTTGTAATATAAAAATAAACATTTTACAATAACAGAGCATATTCTCGCAATCTGATTGTATTCAATATTAGAAAATGCTGAAACTAATAAAAATATGTAGATAGCTCAAGGAACATTTACTGCCCTGCTYATACGTTTTTATATGACAACGTTCCTGCATTGGTTTATAGAGTGAAGGCATTTAACCCGTGAAACAAAAAAAAATACTAGTGAACATGTAATAGTCAAATAGACACAAAAGAAAACCGAATGGGATTAAGGTCATTTCACATAAACAAAACAAAATGGATTAAAATAAATTGAAATGACGGTATAATCTATATTTTTTTCTGTAGGGGGGGGGGGGGGGGGGGGGGGGGGGTGGAGGGGGTAGATAATGATCAAACTCTAGCTTGACCTGAGCCACATACAATGTGCCATAAAAAAGTGCTAAACT